CATATAATATAAATGGTAGTGTACGTCACTATATTGATATTTCCGCAGTGAGCACAACAGACTCGAGGCGTAGGCGATTGCATTTTAGGACTTTCCCCTTCCAATCGGTTGATTTCACTTTTGGGAAAAGTACGGCACTATTTTTGCCTGTTTCAGGTAACATTTGCCATTCATGAGAGCGGATGAATGAAAGGCGATGGGGCTGGAGAGAACTCGGAACAAAGAGGGAGCAGGGGATTGTATGGCTGGATTGTGAATGGAGGTGAACGCATGCATGGAGCAGTATTGGAGGAGAGACTACAGTGTAAGGAAGAGGGCCTTCTCCGCTTACTTTTTCAAAGATGACAGAACTCTTTTGCTCAAGCCAACTTTTGCTGGGGGATTATTTACAGGCAGTGGAGTGGAACTGTCCTTTAAAACAACCCTGAGCTTTTTAAGTGCCCCGAGACATGAGAAACAGAGCAGGCTCTCTGACATCAAAGCCTCTGAGAGGGACCCGAGGGCTGACGGATCTTTCTGGAAGCTTGTAAAGAGCTGAATTTCTATAAATAGTTTAGAAATTCTGAATGTTGTTTAAAAATTCCCGATAAGAAGGACGTCTTCGGTTTGGACGGGATCACGAAACGTTATCATTATTTGTTGTGGAGTCCAGTCATTAACTATAATTATAAGAGAAATGAAGAGAAAATGATGCTCACCGCCCCGTAGACCACCCCTTTCTTGTTAATTGCAAGGTAGTAATTGCTTTGAATCCCCTTGATGGCAACGATGCCCACATCCACAGACTTGATTTCGAGTGTACCTACAAAACAAACGTAAACATATCATTTGCATGACGTCCACATTAAAGCATTGCAGTTTTTAGAGTTTTTGGAATTATGCAAACACTTATTTTACATTAAACAAGGTGCAGTGCTGGTGTCATATGAAACATGTAATTGCATAATGACATAGATTAAACGCAAGCCTAAAATGATAGAACAGGTAACAAATATCAACATGTAAATAGGTAAAGGCATCACAGAAATGACCTCCTTAAACTTTACCCACAATCCACCTCATAACCCTGATGCTACAGTCAGAAATTCTCCATTCCCATGCAGGAGTACTTATGTTCAAAACTGCTCATTTATAACATGAAAACTCATATTTTGCTGTCTTTGTTAGAGTTTTCAGAGCTGAAAGGCATATACTAGGTTTGTAGCCAGTGGTTCAAATTGTGGTAACCATTACTGTTTTGCCTTTTAAAAGGCAATTATGTAAACCCATAAAGCCATCACACTTTAGATGGGATTAGTCCCAGACCAAAGCATGTCCTAGTAGCAAACAGGGCTATATGATCCTATGTTGTTTGTGTATGGGGTTAAAAGAGCTTTTGCCTGCAGCTTCTGGCCTTTGACGAACACGAGCAGTTCAGTTTACCTCCCAGCTTAAATGAGCTCAGTGCTTTAATCTGCAACTATTCAACAAGACATCAAAACCATAAAACCAAGCCTCAAAAGCAAGCAAGCGGCCTACCAGTCCTGCTGAAAAGACCAGCATTAACCAAAGCAGGTGAACCAACATGATCATGCTGGTTACCGATGAAATAAAAAAATGGGCAGAAATGGAAATGGATGGGCAGAAATTCTAATCACATAATCTATATAGATTATATTTTTTCCATTGTTTTTGGAGACATTACTTAAATTGCTTTATTTGATGCTATTCTATCATTGTGGTATAATCTATTTCAAATAACAGAACCCAGTGTTATTTATTTTAGTATTATTTGTATAGTTTTATTGTATTTATTAATACAATATGTTTTTTAGTTTTCATTTTAATTTTAGTATATTTTAGCTATTTTGTTATTGGTTTTTGTAATTTTTCATGTCAGTCAGATGGCCTAGTCCAGCAAAAATGTATTGCATATCTACTTTCAGAACTATGTGAAACCCTCCATATCTTGGATGGTTTGTAAATGCCTAACATTGACATCAGAGTTTTGTGATGCAGAGGAACTGAATCCACACCTGTGGATCAGGGGCACAAGCGCTGCTACAACAGGAGGATTAAGTGGATCTGAAGGCAGATCCTCCACATGGGCTCAGGTTGCAATCACCAAGAGTAGATGTAAGGAGACCTAGTCGTCTATCCTCTCTCCTCCCTCGCCTCAGGTTCATGAGCAAGAGCGACAGAATAAAAGGAGGGGCTCAGAGATGGGATCACAGACTTGGTAGGATGAAGGGGGAATAATCTGTGATCAAAGAGCAATAGACTGGACAAAAGCAATGGAACGGCTGCCCAAAATGACACAAGCACATATAAATTTTGACCAGAAATCCCAAACATATAAGAAACACCTATCATGCAGGCTCACTCATCCCTATGTGAGTGATGTCATGTGTGCAAACATCATGTCATGTCTACAGTAAATTTGGTGGCTGCTCTTTAAAGCGTGCAATGTCAAAATAAATCCTGAATCGTCTGGCAGAAAGCACCTGTTTGCTTTTGGCTATTTGATGTGGTCTGTCAAAGCAAAACACACTGATTTTTTTTTTCTTTTTTTACGACTCCCTCACGAGTCCCAGGAGTGTTTCTTCTGTCTGCATTGAAGCCGAAATGCTGGTCTGCAACAAAAGGCTGGATTTACAAAACCAAAACATCTCTGAGGCATCTAAGCAACAGGTATCTCTGCATGCTTTCTTCTTCCACACCATAAACATTTAAGATCTGCCTCTCTTTCATTTCAGATTTCTGCCAAATACCAGTTATTTAATGTGAGATTTGACCTAAAAGTACCGAGAAACGTTTTAAGGCCAGTGTCTGAAATGCAGTAAGTGCTCGAGCACATTATCTAATCAACATTTTTAAGACATTACCAAGAACAACAGCTGTGCGTGCAACAAGTTACAGTTTAATGTGGCTCATTAAAGTGCATATGCGCTGTCATGTAAGAGTTCAACAAACCTCTACAGTAGTGGTTCTACGTAATGCAGACCACTTTAACATTAACTGCAGACCACCTAACACCTCAGGTCTGAGAGAAACCCCCAATGACATGAAAACAATTACTTGCGGTTTTGAACCCATACAATCCTATAACTAATAACTATCAGTTACTGAATAATAATAATCAAAATCAGAAGCCATTTTTCACAAATGATTATTTTTAAATGATTTTTTAAATTATGTATATATATATATTTTTTTTTTAAATAATGCTTAATTTTATTTCAGTTTGAATAATTTTAGTACTTCAACTTCAACTTATTTTATTTCTGTTAATTGTCAAGGCAAGATTTTTAACTTTCATTGACGTTTTTGGTCTAATATTTATATTTTATTTGATTTCATTTTTTTACATTTTAGATCTAATATTAATAATATTAATCTAATATTGCTACTACAATAATGTACTTGGTTAATAGTTATAAGCTATTTAATTTGTTGTGATTTATTTTAAATCATATTGGTGCTTTTTTTGACAATTCTAAATATATTATTTATTATTCTTTATTTCTTTATTATTTTATTATCAGCCAATTAACTCACCAGTCATTATTATTTTTATATTTTATTTATGCATTATGATTATTTTTTGTTATTATTAGCCAGAAAACTTGCCAGTCACTTGGAATCTTTCACGCATCACAGCTTGAGAACTGCTTGATTACTTTTAATCCTGGCAGACCCAATGTTTTGTTACATCTATATCACGGTGCTCTGCTATTCTGACAAACACGATTTCACCGCCTGCATTATTCAAAGCACTAGCCAAGGCATTCTCTTAAAAAAAGAGAGAGAATTTTCTTTTTTTGCGGTGCAACCTAATCCTCACAGTATTCTTGTTGTACTCCCTGTTAGGGCTCGGATTACAAAGACTTAAAAGCCTCTGCGTTTTAACAAGCCCGGCCCCACCTTACTCATACCCTGTCCGTGAGCGGCCATGTGTCTGTGACATTACACTGCCCATGGCCCAATGGTGGTCCAGAGAATCCCACCCGTAGCCTAGCGTGATCTTCCCTCAGTAGACTTGGCTCTTGCCCCAGGCTCTGTAGGTGGCCGCTCCCCTTCCCGCTTAACGGAGTTCAATGTTTTCTTGGCAGGGTGACAGAACTCAGGTTATCACATCTTGTGGTAATTACAAAAAACCCTGCAGCCTCGTATTTGTAGCCTCGTGCAACCTGCATCACTAACAAAGCCTGCGAGAGAGTGAAAGAGACCCCCATCCACTTCAAACGTGTTTGAAAACAACAATTTTTATCAGGCAGATGGACTTTTCCCTAGCAGTGTTCAGATTGGATCGCTTCCAGACGTCAAAATAACAATCTTACTTGCACTCGGGAACACTCAACTGCTTGTCAGCTCTCCACACCAGTGCAAGGACCGAGTCAATTCAAGTCATATATTACCCCAGGGTGCTTAATTGTCCTGGGAACCTTGGACCGCCACGCCTCTGACACGCACGTCTTTTCAATTAGCCCCCCGTCTACAGGACCATAAAGGAAAAAGGGTCCCCATTAAAAGGCATCTTTGCAGCTGACCCGTCATTGGCTTCTGATGACAGTTACTTGGACCTTTGATCTGAGCACTGCAGGCCCCTGGCTCCTGGGCTCAGGAAGATCAGTGGACAGGTCTGGGGGGCCGGTCTCATTATCCCACTCTTCTGGTTATGCTGAAATACACTGCAAAAAATGATTTTCTTTCCAGTACAAAACATTCTTAAATCAAGATATGTTTACCTGAGACACAAAATGACTTTTTATTAAGTCTTGTTTTCTGAAAAATGTACTTTGAAACAAGACAATGGGGTCAGAAAAATAAACTTAATTCAAAGGGAAAACAAGTTTATTTTTCTTAACCCATTGGCAGTTATTTGTTCTTATTTTAAGCATAAAGTCATTTAATTTTGATAATATATTAAGTCTTAGTTTTCTGAAGAAAAAGAGTCATTTTGCTTCTCAAGTAAATCTATCTTGATATTTTACAGAAAAACAAGACAAAAATACTGAGTAAGAAAATCATTTTGGATGAACTCAGACTAGAAGGACTGTGAAAGTGTTTGTATGCAGCCCTTTTGAAGATTTTATCACATCTGCACCTCTGTTCGCTGGATCGTATGGAGAAATGCAATGGTTTTTTTATGCTAATAGCTACAAAACAGGTCAGTTGATGATAACCTGAAGTGCCTGATCATGTGCATCCTCTGTCATGTTAAAAACAAAATCCATTTTCTGAAGTGCACAAGATGGTTTACAGAAAGCATATGTGGACTCTGCAGACAGACTCAGAATAACAGCTATACTCTTTCAGAGCTGTGTTAAAAGCTTTGTGAAGAAACAATTTTGTTCATTTTTTCAGCACTTCATAAACAGGCTTTCATTGCTGATTTTCCTACTGAAACTTGCTAATAGAGCACAATGCTAACTCACTGGTAAAGAGAGTTGTGCAATCCGTTCTCCTTCACATCCATTGGTTTATCTTCTAATAACTCTTATAACTCCACTGCACATAGGCTCCATACTCATAGCCTCTATAACAATGGGTCGTTTTGAGATTTATTTACAAACTGATTTAGATAGATGAAAAGATCTGATTCAAAATATTTTATAATACTTCTATGGTGAGTTTTTTAATGATGTCATTTTTGCCTCATTCACTTTTTATTATCATTATATTGAAAGAAGTGATAAAGATATTCTTTTTCTATGAATAATATTGTGTTTCACAGCAGGAAAAAAATAAGCTTTTTTGGAACAACATGAGGGTAAATGATGACAAAATTTTAATTTTTGAATGAATTATCCCTTTAAAACT